ACACACACACAGAGATAAAGATAAGTTTCAAAAATACCCTATTCTATATGTCCATATAGGAAAGCAGAACACTACTAGATAGAGTTCATGCTATTTTAGGTACATTGCCGGTTTTCAGCAGCCTTTCCTAACCAGGGCTTACTTTACTTTACTGAACATACTAAACTGCCACATAGCGGTGAAAAGGAAACACTACAGGCTCCTTTTAAAGGTTGATGCAAACATTTGATGTATGGGAAGAATAAATGCAGCATGAAATAAATACCTGGAACAAGTGTGGTAGCACACCCCTCTAATCCCAGCACTCGAGAAGCAAAGCGGGGAACCTCTGTGGGTTTGAGGTCAGCCTGGGCTACACAGAGAGAACTAGGCCAATCAGAGTTAACACGGTGTGACCTTGCCGCAAAAACAAACAACAATAACATAAAAGGCCAGGAAAGGGGACTTTTAAGTAGGGATACTTTGAATCAGCAGGAGAATGGGGGAGACTGACGTCTTCACAGGACTGAGCCTTCCATTCAGGGGTGGAATAGGGTCCTTTATTTACTGAGGCACTGGGGTCCTCTGTTAGAAGAAGAATCTCTCTCTTCCCTCTGTGCTTCTTCCCCTCCTCATTTGGGACAGATCTCATGTATTCCAGGCTGGTCTCTGCCTCAATTTCTTTTCTATTGCTGTGATAAAACACCATGACTAAGGCAACTTATAGAAGGAATGGTTTATTTGGCTTGTGGTTCTAAAAGGACATTCAGAGACCCAACTTAAGGACTAGCATGTGACCTGTCGCTGCACCCTCCTTTCATGTCTTCCGGTGTCTCCAAAGGCACAGCACCAGAGCCAGCAGGATAAGTCCCTTCCTCGTTGAGAGGTTCTCCAGGGTTCCCTGTTGAAAAGACCCGAGTGACATTCCCGGTCTGTTTGCCCATTATCACAGAGCAAATACTGATAATTGAGTTTCAAGTTAAAAGGCAAGAAATGGTCTTTATGTTCTTAAGAACCGAGTACAGAAAATTCTGGGTTTATGCAATCTTCAGGAAGGTTGGAAGGAGGAAGGCAGCTTGAACAGCATCTCCAGTGTACCCAGGCCTGCCCTGAAACCATGGTAACATGATTAAGCTCTTCGGTGCCGCTCCCACGCAAGAGTTTGAGCTGCAGCGCCCCTGGAGGCAGTCCTAACAAGTACACCCGGAAGCCGCAGGGAACGCCCATCTGCCTAAGACTCTGCCTACAGCAACTCGGCACAGAGGTCCTCTCGCTTACCCTCATGTGTCAAACCTCTCAGGAGTTCATCCCTATTGCAGTCCCCCGGACTGACACTCACGTGGTCAAGGATTCTGGGAAATGTAGTTCTTGGCGACTCTCTGAGGAAGAGACTTCAGAATGGGAACTACAAGTCCATTTCCCTACTTGGTCACTGCCTTTGCAGGAGTTGGCACAGCATTACCCTTAAGGAAACCTAGCCTTTTCTTGTCTCCCCTGCTTCAACTCCTTGATTTTTTTTTATATTTTGTTTTAGCGGTGGTAACGTAATTTTGTGGTTTTGAGGCAAGGGCTCCTACTGTAATTCAGGCTGGCCTCGAACTCAACAATGTAAAAAAGCTATTCTCTCCTCCTCCAAGTCCGGGTGTTGCAGGGAACAATCCTAGTTCATCATACTGCTGAATACTGAACACCTAGGACACTGGCTTTCTCTCTTACTTGCTGAGGATCAAAACCAGAGCCTTGCACTAAAACCACACCACTCTTCCCTCTTTAGTTAATGTGTGTTGTTTATGTGTGTGTGCACACGTGTCTGTGCAGGTGCTTGAGACTATAGAGGGCAGAGGTCAACACTGGGTATTTTCCTCCATCCCCCATGTATTCGAATAGAGGCTAGCCTTCAAGGCCCAGAGATCTGCCTGCCTTTGCCACCTCAGTTTTGGAATAATAAGTGTGTGCCACGAGGCCTGGTGTTTTTTGTTTGTTTTAACCTGGATCAGAGGTGTTAAACTCAGACCCTCATGCTTCTGTGGCAAGCACTTTACTGACTGAGCTATATCTGTAATCCACCTAGGCTAATTTTTAAAAGAATTATTCTCAAACTGGCCTGGCTGTACACACACCGGTGTTCCAAGTTCTCATGGGTCTGAGGCAGGAAAACTATGAGCTCAGGGTCTCCTGAGCTACACAACCAAATGCTTGTTCAAAAAAAAAAAAAAGAAGAAGAATTCTAACTCAACACTCTCCTCTAAACCCAGGAAAATAATCACTTGTTTGTAACAGAAAAACAAAATAATTGAGAAACAATTCAAGTTCATCCCAGCACTTGGGGAGGCAAAGGCAGGAAGATCTCTGAGTTCTTGGACAGTTGGGTTTACAGAGTGAGTTCCAGAACAATCAGGGCTACACAGAGAAACCCTGACTCGAAAAGCCCAAAAGCCCCCCCCCCGCAAAAAAAACAAAAAAGCAAAAAAACCAAATATGCAAAGCCCAACAGGAAACAGTTCAAGTTTTTGGCTGTGCCAGAGAGGCCCTTGAGTTTCTAATGACAGCTTAAATCACAGTTGAGCATCCCTAACCTGATAATCTGAATCCAGAAACTATAAACTGTGGAAAAAAATTTAAGCTCTGATGTGATGTCACTAGTGGAAAATTCAATACCTGCCCTCATGTACATGTGTTGTAATCAAAACATAGGTGCACTAACAACACCATGCACAGCTACCATTAGCTTATACATGTGTGGATAGGATGATAGATTAGTGTGAGTTTACTCACACTAATAATAATAGTGAGTAATAGAATGAATACTTGTGAGCTATTATTTATAGGCAATTTATATTGGTAAAAATTCTTGCATATTGATACAAGCTTAAATTATATTGAATATGTTCCTATTTTCGTCTACAATATTTGTAGACCTAGGCAAAGTTATTTTGTCATATTGTATGCATGCATGCTTCTACCTCTGCTTAAGACATTTTGTATACAGATACAATTTAGGATATATTTATCATATTGCAATATACATTCCCATCTCTGATCAAGATATCTATACATTGTTTACATTTTGAGATCATTGTCCTCATTTATTGCACAGTTTAAAGATTGTTTAATATTCTAATATGAAGTCTTAATCTTTAAGTTATATAGGTATTAAGATTCATAGGTCAATAGTCATTCATGTTTGTCATACTTATAGTTAGACTAATCAGATTCTTTAGATATATAGAGATTGTATTCTGCACAGATAGGTAATCTTCAACCACTTCAAAGAGCTGTAGAATATGGCATTTAAATAACTTAGGGTTCTGTTGACATGGGACACGTCTGCTCCTGGTAGCATCAAGCTACTTCAAGAGGAAGATGGGGATCAAAGAGGTTCCTTACGGAGTTGGTTAGCCATTTGGGCAAGAAACTGTTCTTGCCTGGACTACTTGATGAACTGGACATGCAGGACCTGCAGAGAAATGACTGCTGAACTTGCCTAAAGGTAAGACTGTCCTTCAGGGTTCCTGCCTCGTCAAAGAGTCTGCTGGACATTCTTCAGGATACAAAAGACAAACTGCCAATATAGGCGAAACTTTCTTTGAAATTTTCTGCTTCATGGAAAAGTCTGCTGAATACTAGGGGCCTGTAGGCTGAAGATGAATGCCCCAAGGTACAGAAGAACTTTGGGTGACTGTCTAGACAGTGAGATGTTTCTGTCAATTCTAGAGTTTTGGAAATTGCTTACAATGAACTTACTGTTTATTTAGGTAATATTATATCCTTCTGCAGTCTTTGAGGAAGTTGAAGAATGGATAGTTATTACTATAGTTTTCCTTAGTTATGATAAAAAGATAAAGTAGGTATAAATATTGTAACTGTAATTCTTCCTTAATACCTGTTTTGTTATATGTAATTTTACTATGTTAAATTTAAAACCTTCCTTTTTATTTAAAAAGAAAAGGGGAGGTGATGTGGGATTCCCCTCAGTATGCTGTAAATACAATTGGTTAATTAATAAAGAAAACTGGCTTGGCCTGATAGGGTAGAACAGAGCTCAGTGGGGAAAACTAAACTGAATTCTGGGAGAAAGAAGGGTAGAGTCAGAGAGAAGCCATGTAGCCCCACTGGAGCCAGATGGAACATTACCTGGTAAGCCACTGCCATGTGGTGATACACAGATTACTAGAAATGGGTTAAATTAAGATGTAAGAGTTAGCCAATAAGAAGTTAAAGCTAATGGGCCAAGCAATGCTTTAAATAATATAGTTTCTGTGTGGTTATTTTGGTTCTGGGTAGCTGGGACCAGCAAGCAGCCTCCTCCTACACATGTGTGAAACACAACTGAATTGTGTGTTCAAACTTGAATCTCATTTTCAAAGTATAATATCATTTATATGTGAAAATATATAATTTTTTTTAAAAAAATGTGAAACCTATCAGGGATGTGACCTGCAAATCCTGAAACATGATATATGAAAATAGCCCTGACTCCTACTGTGGACCTGTCCAGAGAGAGTACAATCCTGATAAAAGAGGAAGAGGAAGAGGAAGAGGTCACAACCCAGGAGTAGTGGCAAGATTACTAGTTTGGGGCTGGAGAGATGGCTCAGCGGTTAAGAGCACTGCCTGCTCTTCCAAAGGTCCTGAGTTCAATTCCCAGCAACCACATGGTGGCTCACAACCATCTGAAATAAGATCTGATGCCCTCTTCTGGCCTGCAGGTAGACACACAGACAGAATACTGTATACATAATAAATAAATAAATATTTTTTTAAAAAAAAAATTACTAGTTTGAAGCCAGGCATGATGGCTGATGTGGGAGAATTGTCTGTATTCTGTCAATCATATTTTAATAAAATGCTGATTGGCCAGGCAGGCAGTATAGGTGGGAAAACCAGACAGGAAGTAGAGGTGATGCAATGAGAACAGGAGAATTCTGGGAAGCAAGGAGATTCCTCTGCCATTCCTGTGCAGACCACCGAAGAGACAGCATGTAACCTGCCCAGCTGAAAAAGGTACGGAGTCATTATGGCTAACATAGATGAGAATAATGGGTTAATATAAGTTATAAGAGTTAACAAGAAGCCTGACCTAATGAGCCAATCAGTTTATAACCTGATGTAGATTCCGTGTGATTTTCCTTGGGACTTGCTGGCTTGTTGGGGTACTGGGCAGGACAGAAACCCCAACAAGCTGGCCCTCATGTTACAAATGGCGCCAACGTGTGGACAACTGTATCCACATAAAGCCTGAGACAGCTTGGCAAGTAATTCTAGAACAAAATGACAGCATTGTGTGTGGTTTCTTGGTAGCAGCAATTTCTCGGGTCTACTTTGCTAGAGGCAAGCAAGACTCTCATCTAAGAGAGGCTTCCTGACTCAGCTTTAGCTGCAAAACCCTGCAGCTCATTAAGAGGTCCTGCCACAAAACACTTAAATGGTGTTGGTGAAAAGCTGAACGCATGCTTTTCGGTTTTCAACCGTAGCAGGAAAAAAGCTGCGCTGTTTTAAAATGCTGGCTTTCTGGGCTGTCCTGCCAAGGCAATCTCTGACTCTTTCAGGCAGGCAGTCCGACTGAGTGTGGTCTGTGAGCAGAATGCTGCAGCTTGCTGGCAAGGACCTTGAAACGCCATAGAGTTGTGGCAGTGAACACAGCTCTGGCTGGTACCTCAGCCATGAGGCTGGAAAGTTAAGAAATGGACTGGATCTAACTGTCAAAGCCACAGCTTTAATCTTCTCCTTAAAGACTCATGTAGTCAAAAAAGAGAGAGAGATACAGTAAAGAGAGGTTCAAAGATGAAGAAAACCTCTAAAGAGTTTACAGTGTGTTAAAAATATATACAGGTTAAAGGTTAAAGTCATTAAAAATAAAAAAGAAAGAAAGTAAGAAATAGGGTGTGGTGGTACACACCTTTAATCCCAATGCTTGGGAGGCAGAGGTACATTGACCTCTGAGACTTTAAGGGGAAGAGGTAGTTGACCTCTGTGACTTCAAGGTGTGGTAGCACACACCTTTAATCCTAGCACTGGGGAAGCAGAGAGGCATGGATCTCTGTGAGTTCAAGGTGTGGTAGCAAACACCTTTAATCCCAATGCCTGGGAGGCAGAGACAGACAGATCTCTGAGTTCAAGGTGTGGTAGCACACACCTTTAATCCTAGCACTGGGGTAGCAGAGACACATGGATCTCTGTGAGTTCAAGGACAGCCTGGTCTACAGTGTTATTCCAGGACAAAGATATACAGAGAACCTGTCTCAAAAAGTAAAAGTAAAAATAAAAGAAATAGAGGTTAAAGTAAAGCCACACAAAGATGGAAAATGCACAGAGAATCTTGATACTGTATGCTATTAAGCTCTCTTTGAATTGTTTGAATGCTGAGGGAGGAGCAACAGCTGCTAAAGGACTGTTGTTTATAAATGCTGCTGAACTAACCCAAGATAGGTATTTTGAAAATACCTTGGCTTCAAAACTGAAGTCAAAAGGTTTGTTACTTTGGAGAAGAGATTTTGCTTTTGTTTCCACAGAAAATGAGAGGCTATGGATTCATTCTGAGTTAAGAAAAATCAAGTTCCATCAAGGGAGGCCACCTGAGAAATCTCCAACAGGAACAGATGGCCCAGATGTCTGAGTTATACATCCAGAACAGATTCAAGACTGCTGCCTGAGATGATCAAGACTCACAGGATACTTCAGTCAGGACTTGATTAAACTCTAAATTTTCTTTAGGTCCCCATAAGATCATCAGCACCCCCAACCAGCAGGAAGTAGCCTGAAATACTACGCCCACATTCCCAACAAATGGACTGTGGGTATTTTCCTTTGTTTAAAAAAAAAAGAGGGAAATGATGTGGGAGAATTGTCTGTATTCTGTCAATCATATTTTAATAAAACGCTGATTGGCCAGGCAGGCAGTATAGTTGGGAAAACCAGACAGGAAGTAGAGGTGATGCAATGAGAACAGGAGAATTCTGGGAAGCAAGGAGGTTCCTCTGCCATTCCTGTGCAGACCACCGAAGAGACAGCATGTAACCTGCCCAGCTGAAAAAGGTACGGAGCCATTATGGCTAACATAGATGAGAATAATGGGTTAATATAAGTTATAAGAGTTAACAAGAAGCCTGACCTAATGAGTCAATCAGTTTATAACCTGATGTAGACTCCGTGTGATTTTCCTTGGGACTTGCTGGCTTGTTGGGGTACTGGGCGGGACAGAAACCCCAACAAGCTGGCCCTCATGTTACAGATGGCAAATGCCTTTACCC